GATTTTGTTAAGGAAAAACGGCATCAAATTTCACAATGAGTGAAATGCGAGGAATATCGCCACTTGAGATGTCGGGAAATTTGGCTGAAAACTGGAAATTTTGGGTGCAGAAATTTCAAAATTACCTTGTGGCCTCTGAAACAAATAAGAAGTCGGAAGAGTTACAGTGTGCACAGTTACTTCATTACATAGGAGATGAAGGTTTGAGAATTTTTAATACATTTGAGATTGAAGCGGATAAGAAAGGGAAAATCGGAAATTTAATCGAGAAGTTTACGGAATATTTTACGCCGAAAACGAATTTGGTGTACCAAAGGCACAAATTTTTGACTAGAAAACAGACACAAGGTGAAACGACTCAGTATTACGTAACAGAATTGAAGAATTTGGCAAAAAATTGCAAATGGGGAGAGATAGAGAATGATCTCAATTGTAATGTCTTAATTTGTGGATTGATTTCTGAGAAATTGAGAGAAAGGCTCCTTGAAGATTCCGAAATGAAATTGGATAAAGCGATAAGGGTGTGCTTATCAGTGGAAGAGTCACAAAAACAAAATCAAGAAATCAGCGAAAAAGGTGAGATAGGGATAGTGCGAGCGAGACAGAAGTGCAGTGGTAAAGAAAGTGGGGCTGGTGGTTATAGTGATGGCAAGTCAAGAGCAGGTGAGAAGAGGTGGAAAACGAAAAAGGGCAGCAACAACAGCAAAACTACGATGTGTCAAAGATGCGGCTACAATCATGAAAAAAAACGATGTCCAGCGTATACAAAACAATGTAGTGAGTGTGGTGCTTATGGTCATTTTAAAAAAATGTGTTTCAAGAGAAGCGTATATGCGGTGGAAAATGAGATAAAAGAAGTGTTCGTAGGTTTAATAGGTAAAAAACAAAAAAAGAATAGTTGTAGAGAATGGAGTATTGTAATGAGAGTCGAGAGAAAAAAAGAAATTAAAATTAAGCTAGACACGGGAGCAATGGTTAATGTCATTAGTCAAAGTACATTAAAAAGTTTAGGGTTTGATTTAGAAAAAATGGAGAACATTAATTTAATTATAACTAATTTTACCCACAGAAGAGTTCCTGTGTTAGGAAAATGTAAGCTATGTTGTACTTTCCAAGGAAATGATTATGTCTTAGAATTTTGTGTAGTAAGAGATGAATGTCCTACTATATTAGGTCTTAATTCGTGCATACAACTGAATTTAATTAAACGGGTTGATAATATTAGCTGTAATAGAATAGTAGAAAGTTATAACGATGTTTTTAAAGGCATAGGTTGTCTGAGGGATCCCTATACAATTAAATTAAAAAGTAGCATTAGTCCAGTAGTTCATGCGCCAAGGAAAGTACCTTTTGCTCTTGTTAATAAGTTCAAAGCATGCTTAGAAAAAATGGATAAAGAGGGCATAATTTCTAAAGTAGATTATCCAACAGAATGGGTTAATCCAATAGTGCTTGTACATAAGCCAGACAGAACTTTGAGAATATGCTTAGATACAAGAAATTTAAATCAAAATATTTGTCGAGAACATTATCAGTTACCCACTTTTGAGGAACTAACTAGTAAACTAGCAGGTGCAAAAGTATTTTCGACTTTAGATGCTATGTCAGGGTTTTGGCAAATACCACTTGATAAAGAAAGTTCGGATCTATGCACTTTTCCCACACCGTTTGGACGGTATAAATTTTTACGTCTACCATTTGGTCTTACTTGTGCTCCAGAAGTATTTCATAAAAAATTTAAGGAAATTTTTGAGATTCCAGGAGTAGAAATTTATATCGATGATATATTAATTTATGCAAATAATCAGACAGAACATGACAGAATATTGAAACAAGTTTTAGACATTGCTAGAAAAAATAACATAAACTTTAATTTGAATAAGTGTAAATTTTCATGTTCAGAAGTTGTTTATATGGGTCATAAGATATGCGGCGAAGGTTTCTATCCAGATGATTCAAAAATTAAGGCTATCACCGAAATGCCGGTTCCACAAAATAAAAAAGACTTACAGAGATATTTAGGGTTTGTCACATATGTCGGGAAATTTATAAAAAACTTATCGAAGATTACAGCTGCGTTAAGGCAGTTATTAAAAAAGGCAGTGTCGTGGCATTGGACGGAATGCCATGAAAACGCATTTAAAGAGCTAAAAAATCAAATTATCAAATATCCGGTTTTACAATTTTTTGATTCAAAAAAGCCTATAGTTGTCACAGCAGATGCAAGTATAGATGGCGTAGGAGCCTGTTTATTGCAAAACGATAGTCCATGTATGTACGCCTCAAAATCTTTAACCGATACGGAGAAAAAATACGCGCAAATAGAGTCGAAAAATTGAATAATCTAAAGTTTAAAAGACGAAAAATTGAAAATCCAAAAAGTAAAAAGTCGAGAAACCGAAAAATCTTGAACTTGAAAAATCGAAAAGTCGAAATACTAAAAAAAAAACCAAAACTTAAATATCGAAAAATCGAAAAATTCAAGAAAAATTGAAGAATCGAATAATTAAGGCATTAAAAAATTGGACAATTGAGAAATCGAAAAGTCAAAAAAGGTAAAGTCGAGAAATCGCAACCTTAAAAAATCGAAAAATTGAAATATCAAAAACCTGAAAAATCGAAAAATTGAACAACTGAAAAATCGAAACTTTGGGAAGTCGAGAAATGGGAAAATAAAAAAATTGATTAATTAAGAAAAATATTGAAGAACTAAAAATCGAAAAACCTAAAATCAAAAACATTGAAAAATTAAAATATCGTAAAATTGAAATCCAAACATCAGAAAATCAAAAAATAAAAATTCGAAAATCTAAAATAAAAAAATCTAAAAACTGAAAAATCAACAGATCGAGAAATCTAAACTAGAAATTTTAAAATATTGGAAAATTGAAAAATAATTCAAAAATCAAAATATGGCGAAAATCGAAAAACCGAAAAACGGTCGTTAGTTTACGCTTGTAAAAAATTTCACCAGTACATATACGGTAAACGGATTACCATGGAAACCGACCACAAACCATTGGTACATATCTTTAATAAACCATTATATAGTTGTCCTCCTAGATTGCAGCGAATGTTTTTGCGTCTTCAACGATACGATATTAAATTAGTTTATAAACCAGGAAAAGAGCTTATTATCGCAGATACGTTATCGCGTGCACATTTATCAGGTACTCAGGGTGATGAAATGTTAGAGCAGGAAATAGAAGCACAAATTTGTATTTTACGAAAGGGATTAAACGCTACTGATTTAAAAATTTATGAAATAAAAAAAATGATGGCCCACGATCCAGAAATGAAGTTATTGTTTTATTATGTACGAAATGGGTGGCCTTCCTTGTTTAAAAAAGTTAATCCTTTAGTAAGGCAATATTATCCTTATAAATGTGACATTACAGAGGCTGAGGGACTGTTGTACGAAAATTCAAAATTAATTGTTCCTACTAGGTTGCGAGACGAGATTTTGGGAAGAATTCATTATGGACATTTGGGTATCAGTAAATGTAAAAACAGAGCTCGAGAATGTTTTTTTGGCCTAACATGCAGTACGAATTAGAAAATTTAATAAAAAACTGTAAAATTTGTCAACAATTTGGAAAAAATAAATACAAAGAGCCCATGTTACCCCATAAAATTCCGAATCGGCCGTGGGAAAAGGTGGCATGTGATCTATTTTATTTTGAAACTGACGTTTATTTATTAGTGGTGGATTATTTTTCAAAATACATTGAAATAGCGAAATTGATCGATTCCCAGTCATCAGAACAAATAATTATTGAATTAACATGGGGTTCCTAAAGTCGTCATAACTGATAATGGACCTCAGTTTAGTAGTATAATATTCAAGAAATTATCAAATGCGTGGGAGTTCCAACATATTACTTCAAGTCCTCTTTGGTCTCAATCTAATGGGTTAGTAGAAAGAAATGTACAGACTTTGAAAAAAATGTTAATTAAGGCTAAAAGTGACAACAAAGATTTTTATCTAACATTGTTAATGTATAGAAATACACCTCTTGATAATAAAATTAAATCTCCAGCTCAATTGCTAATGTCAAGAAGACTTAAAGATATTTTGCCTGTTCATGATTCGTTATTAAAACCTGTAAAAAACAATTATACACAAATTAGAAGAAATCTTTGTTTAAGACAGAATAAACAAAAATATTATTATGATAGGAATGTAAGAAGTAGAAGTACTAATTTTAAACGAAACCAACATGTATTGGTAAAAAATAGATTAAGTGAGAAAAAATGGAATAAAGGTGTTATAGCGAGTAAATCCACATGTAGGCCAAGGTCATATCATATTAAATTTGATGATGGAAATATGTTAACTAGAAATACAAAATTTATTAAATTAAGTAATGTAGAGGATCCTCAGAATTCTGAAAATGTAACAGATAATCAGGCATCTTGTAGTAATGATTTAGACAGTTCTGTGATAGATGTAAGCCAGGATTCAGAGGAAGAAGAAAATGTTGCAGAAGATGAAAAGTTTGTAGTACCAGAGCAAACATCAAGCGGAAGGGTAATAAAGCAGCCCAATCGTTTAACATATGGTAGATTTAAATAACAAAATAGTAGTACTATAGTTTAGAGAAAATTGTTTAAGTTAAAAAGGGAGATGTCATAAATGTATAAGTTTTTATTCTTGTAGTTTTTGTAAAAGAGTTTATCTTTATTTTAATAAAAAGTCAGTCGGCTCTAGAATGTATTTCAATACACACGTATAACAGCAGTGTCCATATTTACGTCCACATTAAGGATAAACAATTTTCGGCGTTAATTCCGGGCCCCCGGGGCTCCGGCCGGCCGATATTTATTTTAGCGGCAGTCGTGTCCGGTCCGTTGCCCCGGCGGCACATCTTGTTTATCGAATAAGAAAAAGGCGGAATAAATTCGCCGGCTTTCCGACACGAAAATCCCATTTTATTGTGTCATAGCAAAGTGAGATATGATGATTCCTCGGCCATTAAATATTTAACGTTTTGTTCCAGCTCTTCTCGTGATGGTGGGAGCTGCGGTTTATCCTGTGGGATGGGACAATCGCGAAGTGCGGGAGTCCTGCGGAAACTCCAGCCACATATACCGACTAGGTTAGTATAATCTAAGGCGATTGTCGTTCAGAAAGCGACTCTGATAACCCGCATATTAAGTAATAAGATCCATGCGGGAATGGCTTTTAGCCCAGAAACCCTATCGCCGGAGCCTTGATATCTGCCATGTTGTCTTGTCGTTTGATGTGTGGCGGTATCCGGAAGGGGAGGAATTTCTGGGGTTTCGATCAACATTATACAAATTTCGTAGGCCGCCTTGGAAAGGAACACCTGTTTTGGCCGCGGGCATAACTACATACGCTAATTTTGCGAGCCGAACACGCACTGGGAGGAATAAAAAGTGCGGCGAGTTTGCCGACGGAACGGAGAACAATGTGGGAAAAATCGTTAATTAATTGTATATTCATCTGTCGGGAAATTCGAACTTTGCGCAAACTTTCGCATTGTACTAGTTTTTAAAATGAATAGGTAATGAGGGCTTTGTTATTTCCGTTTATTACAGCCAATTAATTTCGAATTCTTAGTACTCGAGGCTATCATCGATGAAAGGGCGGTGCTGTGGAAGTTTTATTTTTATTTGGCCAAATCACCATTATTGCTGACGACGACAAAAGGAACAAAACTGTTTTGGCGGAGATCGTGACTCGTAAACAGACTTGACGTCCTAGACGGGGTTTTTAAATTTTTAAAACGCTCTAAAATATCTTAAAATTCATTTTTTGTGAAACTTGTTTAAAGTCAGTTATGATAGTTGCAATTTCTAGACGTCTTTGAAAGTGGCATAAACGTTTCAAGACAACTATACCCTAGAAGATAATGAAAAAGGAATCGCTACAATAAAAAATCAGACGACTAACTACTTTCATGTTTTCTTGACGTTTCATGATCCACTCAGTACGAAAAAATACATCTGTCATTTCTGTCTACTTCTCTGTGGTTAAAAACGCTAACCAAAATTTGTCTGATCATCCCCAGCAGCAATAGAATGACGTCATGTCCAAATTTTACATTGGTAGACGTTGTCTAAATTTTATAAAATAACGGAACTACTTGCTCCATTATTCCACAAATCTGTTCCAAATGTGTTCCAACCGTGGATATCCAAATTTTTGGAAAAAAAATAACATTTTACAATTTAATTTAAGTTCAAAATCGAATGCTTTGAAATTTTGCAAACTCTCGTAGTTTGTTATAAAAAAATCAAAACTGTATAACAATTTTTCGAATTTTCAATTTCTCGATTTTTCAGCTTCCGATTTCAGTTTTTCGGTATTTCAGTTTTAAGATTTTTTTAGTCATTTGATTCTTCAATTTTTCAATTTCTCGATTTTCAATTTTTCTGTTTCTCAATTTTCCGATATTTTTGGCGTTTCTAAATTTTCGATTTCTGAATTAATCGATTTTTCGGCTTTTCGATTTCTCGATTTTTTGACTTTTCAACTTGCAGATTTATCGAATTTTCCATTTTTTGATTTTCCCATTTCTCGATTTCTTGACTTTTAGATGTTTTGATTCGACTACTAGATTTCTTGATTTGACCGAATTTCAATTCTTCAATTTTTTGATTTTTAGATTTTTTGGTTTTTCAATTTTCGATTCTCCAATTTTTCTTTGATTTTTTAGTTTTTCTATTTTTCGATTCTCCAATTTTTCTTTGATTTTTTAGTTTTTCTATTTTTCGATTCAGTGTATTCAACAATTTCTCGATATTTCAGTTTTAGTATTTTTGAACATTTCGATTACTACATTTTTTGATTTTCTATTATATATAAGTTTTAAATTTTAGATTTTTCAGGTTTCTGATTTTTCAATTTTTCAATTCTTTAATTTTTCTTCGATTTTTCAGTTTTGAGTTTCTTCAACATTTCGGTTCTAAACTTTTCGATTTCCTGATTTTTTTCCATTTTCAAATTTTCAGTTTTTCAATTATTCAATGTTTTGATATTTTGATGTTCCTTAATGTTCCGATTTCTCGATTTCAATTTTTTAAATTTTAGATTTTTGGATTTCTCGATTTTTCGGTTCTGCGATTTTTTCAATTTTTCGAATTTTTTAGTTTTAGATTTTTCAACTTTTTGATAGTTTTAATTTCTCAATTTTTTGTTTTTCGATTTCTCGGTTTTAATTTTTCAGTTTTTCAAGTTTTCAGTTTTTTCAATTTTAGATTCTTTGCTTTCTCGATTTTTCGATTTTTCAGTTTTCCGAATTTTCTGTTTCAATTTGTCGAATTTTTAAATTTTAGATTTTATATTTTTTGATGTTTCGATTTCTTGGTATAGATTCTTTTGGTTTTTCAATTTTGCGATTTTTCAGTTTTTCAATTTTCGAATTCTGGATTTATCAAGATTTTTGCCGATTTTTTGACTTTTGAATTTTAAATTTTCAATTTTTTCAATTTTTAATTTTTCGATATTTCAATTTTATGCTGTTCCGATTCCTCGATTTTTCGTTATTTCGATTTCTCGATCTTTTGATGTGTTTTACGATTTTTAGATTTTTGATTTTTCGACTTTTTAATATTTTGCTTGCTCGACGACTCGACTTCTCGATTTTTAAGTTTTTGAATTCTTCCATTTTTCTATTTTTCAAGTTTTTTAGTTCTTCAATATTTCGATTTTTAAAATTTTCAATTTTTCGATTTCTCGATTTCTCGATATTTCAGTTTTTCGATTCTTCAATTTTTCTTCGATTTTTCAGTTTTTAGATTTCTCGATTTATTATCCATTTATCAATTTCTCGATATTTCTCTCGATTGGAATTTTTGAACATTTCGATTGTTATATTTTTCGATTTTTCGATTTCTCGATTTTATTCTTTTTCGACTTTTCAATTTTTTGTTGTTTCGATTTCTCGATTTTTCGTTTTTTAGTTCTTCAATTTTTTGAACTTTTCGAATTTTTAAATTTTTTGATGTTTTAATTTCTGGATCTTTCGATTTTTCGACTTCCCAGTTTTAAATTTATCGGTTTCAATTCCTGAATTTTTCGATTTTTCTGTTATTTGATTTCCCAAGTTTTTAATTTTTGAATCTTTCAATTTTTCGATTTTTCAGTTTTAGATTTTTCAACATTTAGATTATTAAATTTTTCGATTTCTCAATTTTTTTCCTGTTCAAATTTTCAGTTTTTCGATATGTTGGTTCCGATTTTCCGATTTCCATTTTTTCGATTTTTTAAATTTCAAATTTTTCGATTTTTCAGTTCTTCAATTCTATTTTCCATTTCTTGTTGTTTTCATTTGTCGATTTTTCTACTTTTCGACTTCTCGGTTTCTCAATTTTTCTTTTCTTCAGTTCTTCTATTTTTAAATTTTTTTGATGTTTCGATTTTTCAATGTTTCAATTTTTCGACTTCTTGCTTTTAGATTTTTCGGGTTTTTAATTTTTCCATTTTTAAAATTTTCACGTTTCGATTTCAGGATTTATCAAGATTTCGATATTTCGATTTTTCGACATATATTTTAAATTTTCCAGTATTGCAATTTTTAATTTTTCGATATTTCAAGTTTATGCCGTTTCGATTTTTCGACTTGTCGATCTTTTGAAGTGTCGATTTTTCAATGTTTTAGTTTTCCGATTTTTAGATTTTTCGACTTTTCGGTTTTTCCATTTCGCGGTCTTTCGATATGTCCATTTCCCAATTTTTCGAAATTTCAGTATGGTATTTTTTGTTTTTTCGATTTTTCATTTTTGTTATTCTTCAATTTTTTGATATTTTAAATTTTACGTTATTTCATTTTTCAATTTTTTGCTTTTGTTTTGATGTGTCAATTTAGCTATCTCGGTTTTTCGATTTTTAATTTTTTTCGATTTTTAGTTTTTGATCATTTTTCTGTTTTGGGAATTTTTCGTTTCTGATTAAATAATACCCTAGGGCATTAAGAATAGTTTCCGTAGTAAGTACAACAGAAAACGCTGTCGGCTGAAAACCAAATATTACTTATAATTTTTAGTGTATTACTGGTTGTATATGTATGTAAAAAGCACGGTATCTAGTAACAGGTAAAATTTATTGTGTTTGTGTAAAAATTATTCGTCAACAACATATTTTTCTACTTTATTTGTTGTTTAAATCCGAGCATAAAAAAGAGTTCTGGAGTAAATGCAACCAGTAAAAGAATGTGAAAAATGCCGTTTCTTTTTTTTTTGTAAATATCAAAAACTGCACGGTACGATATAAAATTTTGTATGTACCACGGATATTATTTCAAGTTTATGCCTTGATACATAAAAACCTATTTTATCTTTAAAATTATTTTTTTCAATTTAAATGAAGCGAATGAAAGTCCGACGAGGAAGTTGAGATTCCATAGACCCCCATAACCCATCGTCGGCAACATAAAACAATACTCGGCCAGCTGCGCATTTCAAAGACAAACAAAGATCCGATAGAACAATCCCGTAACAAAAACACGCCCCTATCCCTCCTGCATAAAACAAAAACTAATTTTGAAGTTCCCCGAAAGTCATTCGGCGAATTTAATTCCGAAATATTACAGGAAACTAGAAATATTAGAGCAGTTTCAGCCTACGGCTAAATTGGGATTTAAAGCGCTTCATGTTCAAACTATGAATTATACATCGTAGATAATTTGGACCGTTATATAGGCTCGAAAATTCACAATGTCAAGGGAAACGAGAAGGGTGAATGAGATACCTGTAAGGAAACTCCGGCATTATGCTGCCCTCTACTCCTCCACTTTGTTCAACTGATTCGTTCGTATTAAATTTCAGGAAAGTCGATTCAGCCAAGCTGTTGTTAAATCTTCATTTTTCAGTTAGCGGAATTCCGAGAGCAAAATCGCTCCCGAAAACAGTCCGTTTGAATGCCGCGCGAAAAGCTGCTTGAGGTTCTTTGAACGCACTATTTTTCGACAAGACGTCTTATTAAAAAAATAAATCCTCGGACGCGTTTTTATTCGACGATCCCGCTTCAAACGACTCAAAGATAAACATTTAACGCGGAGGATTTAGTTCGTACTCTTCCGACGAATAAAGAACGGGATTTTAAAAGACCGTCTACGTCCACAATTTACAACAA